AAAAAAACAAACTTAAACATTTTTTTTTATCTATGCCCTCCAAAAATCTGATAAATTAGACATTCGTTTATAAGTATGTAAAATTTCAATCATCAAGCATGTAGATTAAAATATCAAATCTTGATTGGCCCAAGACAGGTTTTCCGTAAATTACGCAAAAAATAGAAAAGTGATACAAAATCATTTAAAATATTTTAACAATGTTTATTTTTATTTCGTTTCATGTAAATATTTATTTAACGAAGAAAGATAGTTTTTTATATATAGTTTTAATTCCAAGATTAAAGCGTTGATAGAAAAAAAATACTATTAATTTAAAGTTAGTGAATTTTTATACTTTTTATGCGGAAATTCATTTTTTTTTTTAAACACAAAAATTCTTGTGACGTCAAGCTCGCTTTTATATTGAGTGAAACAGCCGTGTGTTAATTATACTTCTTATATTTATGTGTATCGCCGTAAAGTTATTACTTAATAATTTTAATTCATTTTTAAAAGTTCTTAATTCAAAAAACCGCGAGTTAAATTTATTTTTATTAAAAAAAACGCAAATCTGGGTTGTAAGAATTATTAAGTAACTTTTTTAATTATACGCTAAAATTTTATTTTAATTAATTTTAATTAAATAAATTTAATTGTTGCGTATTTACCTTGGTTGCGAAGATTTTTGACTTCTTCCCAAAGTTTCTTTCTCTCTTCCATCGTCTCTTTAGCAAAGTCTTCATTTATATATATTCCACTTTCTTTCAGGTTTTTAAGTGAACTTAAAATTTTAATTTTATCTTGATAGTTTAATAGTTATATTTTTAATTTCAAGGTTTCTTCATATTAATTTTTAATTTCAAGATTTCTTCATATTAATTTTTAATTTCAAGATTTCTTTATATTAATGTTAATTCTTCCTTTATTTTATCTTCTTGAAAGTTAAGACTTTCTTTCACATCGTTTAAGCTTTTTTCAATATTTCGCATACTCTGTTCATATTTAATTCATTTTCTATTTTGTCGAGTCTATCAGTTATAATTTTTATATTTCCACTCACTGTTTGTATGAAATTTCTTTCTTGGTCTTTTAATAACCTTTCTGTTTCTTTAAGCAAATTTCTTTTTTGTTCTTCAAACTTGTTTTAATAATTTTTTTGGTATTTTGGTTTTTAATATAAATGCTTTTTTTCCATAAATTAAAAAGAATATACTCATAAAATTGTATGCAATAAGAAATTCGTTTATCTTTAACGAAATAAAATGTATGAAAATGCAACAACAACAACAACAAAAAACAAGCAGAATTACTTGAAGCCAACATAAAAGATTTAATAGTACAGAGATTTTTTTAATGATTTTTGAAATTTTTTATTTAGAGTTTGAACATTAGTTTAACTATTTTGTATTTAGAGTTAAAACAAAACAACAAACAACTATTTTATATTTAGAGTTTAGTTTTAGAGTATTGGAGAACATTAATTTAACTATTTTGTATTTAGAGTAAGAACATTAGTTTAAGCCCCAAGAAATGTTTAAAAAATTTATTGGAACTATAGTAAAACTTAATATTTTAAACATAAATATATCATTAAAATTTTTGAAAAAAAATTTTCTTACTTGAAATGTTTTGCCTCAATCACCCAATTAAAAACTAAAAATAAGCAAATTTTTGTGAAATGATTACTCTAAATTTACCTGCCATTTTAAAATGAAATTTGTACCATATTATAAGCATAATACCAAAGTTCATTTGAGAGAAAATAAATGAAATAAAAGAATATTTTAGAAACGCATAAAAAACTAACAAACTCTAACAAATTAGACGAGTCAAACAAGATTAATATGAAAATTTAAAGACCTAAAATGCGTTAAACAAAAACTTTTCCCAAATGAATTTTATTATGAAGAACAAAATGTCAAAATATTAGCTCTTTTGCATAGTTATTTATGAAGTAACCGTTTCACAAACTTTTTACAAATGTTTTGTTTATCGGTTGCTATGGCGTTGTTACGGAAAGAAAACAGATTTGGTAGACATAATGCCAAAATATTAAAACCTCATTTTAAAATGATAAACTAAAAGTTGTTTTTAACCTGTGAACAAAAAAATAATAATCTAAATTTATTAAATATTTTTTTTCGAAATTGACTTTTGTTTCTTGGGGTACTACCTTAACTATTTTAAGAAACTAAAGTAACCAAGAAATAAAAATAAATTAAAAAATCTACATTTTTTAGAAGTTTTGAACAATTTTCTTAATCTATAATTTAACTGCAAATTATATTTAAAAAAACAGTAAATCAAATAAAATAACTAGCTATAGACTTAAAAATAAAATAACTAACTACACTGGGCAACAAAAAAATATTTTTTTTGTATCTTTAGCAAATTTGTTCAAATTATACTAATTTTGGGCTGAGAAAAAAGAAAATGACTATGAAAATTTTTATTAGCTCTTGCTTCTAAGATATACAATAGCAATAAATGTTTATTTCAGTTAATTTGCAACAGAGCAATATGACATAATTTACATATGCTAATAGAATTTAAAGTACATTTTTTTTTATTACAGATATATTCTAACAGTTTTAAACTAAGAAATCATGATTATTAAGCTAATAGGTATAAAGATGATTATGGGGTATTGTCATAAGATCGTGATCTTTTTGCTTTCCTTTTGTAGACTAGTTCTGGAGTATCCCTACACACAAACCAACAGTAATCTGCAAGCATAGCCTCATTCCAAAGACCAGGACCGTCCCGAGGGAGGGGGGGGGGGTGTAGGGGTGTCTAGCCCCCCTACGAATTTTATTAGTCGGCAAATTTGACACTGGAGTCGGCAAAATTAGATTTATAGTTGGCAATTGGCAAATGTCGGAAAACGAGGACCTTTTTTTTTTTTAGATAAGTTACTGGCCAGTGGAGGAAATGAATCTTAAGGGACATGCTACATCCAAGTTGATGGTATTTTTACAGAAGTACTTGAGTTGAGGAGAACTTTTTGTTTATATAAGTCTCTTTCATGTGTACTGCATGACCAATAGCAGCAGTAGGAAGATGGCTTTCATTTTGCAGTAATACAGCTTTCAAGCTGTATTACTTTTTCAAGCTTACTTTTTCAAGCTGTATTACTATTTTCAAGCTGTAGAAACTGATTATTCATAGACTCATCTAAGCTTAGCTTAGATGAGTCTATGAATAATCTCCATTCAGTTGGATTATAGTTCAAATTAAGACAATACATTAATACAAAGACCATCAATCCAAATAACAAGATTATTTTTCTTCTCAAAAAAAGAAAAGATTCTGTTGCTGGTTTCTGTAATTTGAAACCTTCACATCAAAATGGAGAATACTCCACTACTTTAGTCTTGACTCTAGAAGTTTTGCTTTTTCCTGTGACAAGTCCAAAGACCATCAATCCAAATAACAAGATTATTTTTCTTCTCAAAAAAAGAAAAGATTCTGTTGCTGGTTTCTGTAATTTGAAACCTTCACATCAAAATGGAGAATACTCCACTACTTTAGTCTTGACTCTAGAAGTTTTGCTTTTTCCTGTGACAAGTCCAAATCTCGAACAAGATCACTTAATTCTGCTTGATTCAATTTGTGTGGCACATTATCTGTTAACACAAAATCATGATCGTTTGATGTGGAAGGCATGTTTTCTTCTTTTTCTTCAATTTCTACTTCATTTCTGCCTTGTTTTCTGCTTCTAACTCACAACTTTGTGGTGGAGTAGAAACTGGTAAACTATTCGAATGTGGAATAGGTCGGATGACAAATGGAAGATTCGGATATTTAACTGTTTGTATTTTTTTCATTGACAAAGCCTTAATGAGTGGGGTCAAACAGAAATATTAGTCATCTGTATAGTTTTTAGGCTCCCTCTTTACCATAGGAACAGCAAAAGCCAAAAATCGTTTTTATTTTTTAACCATTCTTGTAGTGTGACCGAACAAGAGCTACAGCATATATGTGGAGCCTATGGCTTATCCTGGTCCCCTACCTTCATATTGAAGTAATGCTAGCAAGCAGTCTTCACAAGAGTGTCATAGTTCTTTTCTGTGAGGGAAATGTTATTTCACCACAATTATAACAAAAATTGTTCACTAAATCTAAACAATTCCCTGACATGTAAGATTTATCAAATTTTACATTAGTAAAAAAAAAAAAAAAAACTAATAATAGATTAGACCAGAAACTTTAGCAAACACACATAACTAATATCACAAGTTTTAAACATGAATAAAACATTATGGATAGTCAAAAACAAAAGCAAATTTTTTTTTTCAAAAAATGAAAACTTCAACCCTTGAGAGAAAGTTATTGTTTTTATTTCTAAAACTAGAGCTAATGTGTTATTTTTAATTGAGCAGATGGAAATAACTAATTTTTGAAATAACTAATTTTTGTTCCGAAACAAAATCACTGTTGGGCAGTGTTACTTGAAAATAAAAAGTCTTTCACAAACTATCGAGTTTAGAGTGTCGGTCACATTACGACGTAAAAAAACTTACATGCTAATCAAATACAAAGTGTTCAACACTAATTTCCATTTCCCAGATTAACAACAACGTTTAAAAATACCCAATCGAAACTCAATTAGAAAATTTAATAAATCACAAATGTTTGTCCGTATAACAAACATGAATTGTATTGATGTTTTGTCAATGCAATACTATAATAAATAGCACAACAAATTTAAGTCAATACAATGAAATACTATGATAAATTGCACAACCAAAAATTTAAATAAGTATAAAATATGAGGAAGAATCTGCAACTACGAATTTAATAAATGATGCTTATATAACACTTTACGATCCATACATGATTAATGGTATCCAAAAAATTTGTTATAAAATTTCAAAAATATTGAAATTATGTAGGTAATTTATTTGAGAAAATTTAGTATCGTTTTTTTCTTTCTTTTTTTTTTTGCTTATAGTTCATTTCTTTGATTTGTTATGTTTTATTTCTTAGTTTTAATACTTTTGTTATTTTACGATTAGCAACGTTGATAACGGCAAGTAAAAGTGTAGGAACTGGTAAACTTATTCAAAGTTCAATCTTTATCATATTTGGCATATATTTTGTAAATCTTTTTTTGACAAAAAGATTTGTTTAATTATTTACTTATTTTATTTTGTTTTTATTTTATAATTTAATAAATCTTCTAATGTTCTCTAAAAAATATTTCTATATTAGAAACTATTGTGAGATTTCTTTAAAGTTACCAAATGACTTCTTTTTAACAAAAGTTTTAAAACAGGAAAATTTTTTAAATCTTGCAACTAAAAATGCATTATGGCAACACCAATTTTATTCTATATATGGGCAAGTGTATATATGTCTATGTGTATGTATATGTCTATGTGTGCATGTAAAAATATTGTATATATGTCTATGTGTATGTATATATGTTTATGTGTGCATGTAAAAATATAGTATATATGTTTATGTGTGCATGTAAAAATATTGTATATATGTCTGTGTGCATGAAAAAATATTGTACTTTAAGAAATATTGTAAATAAATAAAGATAAAAAAGATTTTTTTTTTTTAATTTTTATTTCATTTTAAAGATTACTTTTTATATACAAATTTTACTCGTATCATATATACATTTCAATTTTACTTTGCTCGTTATTCTTAAAAAATCTGAAATTAAGTTTTTCCGCTGCTGAGATTCTTAATAGTAAGCTGATTTATGTAGTGTGTCAAAGAACTCACGTTTTGTTTGATAGGTGTATAATTGCTTTCTGCAGTTTTTTGCGCAATATCTAACTCGAGTTAAAAAAAAATAACAAACAACAATAATAACATAATCACTATTATGTAATATTTATGATAGTTCACAATAATAAATATTATATTAACTATTATATTAACAATAAATACTAATAATATATTTATAATGAGTTCTAAATGGTGATGTCAAAAACATGAATCTCGGGATCTCAAGATTTACTTGATGATTTTCCCGAACACAAAATATAAAAAATTGGAGAAAAAAAAAAAGTTTTGAAGAAAAAACTAGACACTTTTAAAACTAAAGCAGGAACAAATTTAAAAATATAAAGAAATAATTTTATTAAATTTGTAAAATAATATTTTCAAAAAAAAAAAAAAAAATGGAATTCATGAAATGATTAAGCGATATTATAAATATAGCATTAGAACAAAAATTTGCATGTGGTCAAAGTGTTTATGTTAACTTAAATTTGTCAAACCCATTTTGTCAAACTATCGAGCTTGTGTTTTCTATAATTGGTGATATAAAAATCACCAGTTATAGATTCAAAACACAGTCTCGTAGACCTTTACGATTAAAAAAGTATGGATTAGAGGTTTACTTTTTGAACATCTTAATGAAAATTTAACATAATATCATAAGTATCAGAGGTAACACCTGTAATCATGTAAACTGCAGATAAAAATTTATTACAAATAAAAAAAAGATGATTCTATGCTCACAATTACATGGCTTATAACAGTTAATAATAAATGGTTTGCAATAATGACATCACAACCCTAATCCATTAACCCGTTAAAACTAGTTTTTTTAAAGAATTTGCCAAAAATAAATTAAACATAAAATTTCTTAAAAGTATCTTTTGGTTTTGGAGTTTAAAAAAAAAAAAAAAAAGATACTTGTATAAATTTAAAAAAAATGTTAAAAAATTATTCTCTCAGAAGATGATCTAAGGAGTTTAGAAGATTCCAGGAAAATGGGAGATTCCAGATTTCCAAGAGTCTAGGACAACCCAGAACTCCAATTTTAAGAAATTGGAGACGTAAAAATACAAACTGAAACAAATTGATCCTTGTAAATAATATAATTGAATATAAACATAAAAAAATGTGTAAAAATAAAAATTTAATTACATAGGGGAGAGTGGGGAGAAGTGGGACGCGGGAGAAGTGGGACAGCCTGAAATTTCTAATTAGGAGTGGTGCCTAGGTAATGTTATTTAATGTAAACAATTAAATTTCTTCCCCTCTATTTAGCAGAAATTGCTTTGTTTTCGTGTGTGCGCTAGAAACCCTAAGTTTAAAATGCACTTTAAAAAAGTGTTTAGATTGGGGTGAAGTGGGACAGAAAAAATACATATTTATGCTCTGCTTCTTCCAGTCGCAATTTGATTATTTCGATTGTTGAAAGCTCTTGAACATTTTTATACCGATTAGGTGATTTTATGATTTTATCAGTTTCTATTTAATAATTTGTGTTAAAATGTTGTTTTAAATTTATTTGTCCCACTTCTACTCAAACTTGTCCCACTTCACCCCAATGGCACGGTTTCTCTAAAAGCAAAATTTTATATACTTAGTTATATTTGGCTGGAAACCTAAGGGGATTGAATCGCTGCCTAAAAAGAAGGTTTATTTGTAAAAACTTGTTTAGTTCAGTTTATACATCAAATAAAAAAGATATTGCAATTACCCTAAAAAAAAATTTACATGTCCCACTTCTCTCCGCTCTCCCCTATCAAGTCTTACAAAAATATTACAATTAATAAAAAGTTTATTAAAAAGATACAATCTTTTATTGAGAGGTTGTTTTGCTCCAAATGTTGCCATTTTCTTTCTAAATTGCCTAGCTAAATTTTGAATATATATATATATATATATATATATATATATATATATATATATATATATATATATATATATATATATATATATATATCGCTACTGATTTGGCAACAACACGTAACTGACAATCAATACATTTTTCAGAAGCAACTAAAAACTAATTTATTTCTGTTTAAGACATTATTAGGTAATATTTTTAATTCATATAGTTTTACTTTCAGATGCTATTCTATTATATAACAAATTTTATTAATTTTTGTGGTTATTCATTTTTTACCAAAAACCATTTGATACCAAAACGTCAATTTTGAAAAAAATGTCAGATACGAGTTATTGGCAAATCAGTAGCGATATATATACAGTTAGAGAAATAAGTATCCGAACAAAACATTTCATTATGGAAAATAAACTTTTTCAGGTTATTTCAGAAAAAAATAACTTTATAAAAATTAAAAAAAATGATTATTCTGAAAGAAAATTTAATTACGAATTCAATATGCAAAAAAAAAATATATATCAATAATAATATTTAATTGATAAAAAGTTAAGATACATTTAAACTATGCAATTTTTTAGCATTAAATAAGTATCAAAAATTTTAAAGATTAATGCTTCTCCAAGTAACTATTTTTTATGACTTTTTAATATCGAGTTAGACCGTCTTTTTTGACTTCTGCAAGTCGACATGGCATCGATTCACTTAATTTCTTTGTCGTATCAGTCCAAGCTTCTTGGAGCATGATCTTTAGCTCTACTTTTCTTTTTAGACATCATGTGCCACATTTTCTTTCCAGAATAGCCCAGAGATGTTCAATTGGATTGAGATCTGGACTTTGTGCTGGCCATTTAAGTAACTCAATTTGCTTTTGGATAAAAAACTCTTCTGCTTTCTTTGATGTATGTTTAGGGTCATTGTCTTGTTGGAAGATAAAATGTTTTTCTAATCGCAGTTTTTTAGTTAAAGCCAGAAGATTTTTATTGAGAATGTTAACATAAACCTCAGAGTCAATAAACTCCAGTTTTCCTGTTTCGTTCCAAGCCATTGATCTTCATACCATAACATTACCTCCACTAAATTTTACTGTGCCAACTGGCAATGTTATAATTAAATTTTGACTTGTCCACTCACAAAACTTCCGGTATCAATCCTCCAGATTGATACCGGCATATTTACATATTTATTAGCGAATGTCTTTGTTTTCGATGGATTTTTGAAAGGAATGGTTTCTTGTGTGGAACTCTTGCTTTGAATACACTTTCTTTCAATCGATTTCGAATAGTACATAAGCTCACTTGTAAATCAAAATCTTTCTCAAGGAGGCTTGATACTTTTGGTACTGATAAAAAGCGTTTTTTTTTTTGCAGCATCTTGACAATTTATCGATCTATTCTTGATATTGATTTTAGGCTTAGCTCCGGATCTTGACTGATTTTGCACATATCCAAACATATTATACTTTTTAATCAGATCACTGATGGAATGCCATTCCAGTCACTTTATCGACTGAAATGTTTTACCTTGCTTGAATAAGTCAATAACACTGCACTGCAAATTGCACTGAGTGTGGAACAATTCCTTGATTTTAACTCCCATACTTGATGATATCAATAGTAAATCAAATGAATTTAAAAAAATATCAGTCAATTATTAAAAATTAATGAATAAATTTGCTTTTAGAATAATTATAAAAGTATTTATCAAAAACATATCTGAAATAACCTGACAAAGTTTATTTTTCACAATAAAATGTTTTGTTTGGATACTTATTTCTCTGACTGTGTATATATATATATATATATATATATATATATATATATATATATATATATATATATATATATATATATATAAACACACACACACACACACATTTAGATAATGAAAATGTTGTTAAACCAATAAATAAGCAAATAAAAAGCTCCAATGAATAGTTTCAAATCTCAAAAAGATCTATATTAAAATAAAGTTAAAAGACATATATTTTTTCAATATATATTTAGTACAGTTAAAATTATTATGGATTTCTACAATTTCAAAAAATCCAATTTTAGGCAGACAAAATTGTTTTTCTAATTATTTTTTGAATTTAAACGAGATAAAATGCATATACCATGCTGTGGATCAATTATATAAGGCATATTCTTCAATTTTAAGGTTGTAAATGGTTTCTAAAGTGATTAGTCCCCAAACAGGACAATATCAGATAGAAAGACATTTGTAACTGGGTCCGGACTTTTCAACCAGTTTTCAAGTGAGTGTGTAGGATGGTATTCAATATGTTCTACTTTTATTTCTAAACAAAAAAAAGTTTTGCTGGAAATCTACAAAATTTTTCATTTTTATCATTGAGGAATTGTACATGGATAAAAGGAATAACTTGAGTTCAAGGAAGAAAGGTTATATAATGGTTTTGCAGTAATTTTGTCTACAATTGCAATCTTAGATGACAGAAAGCCAGGAGAAGAAGATGAAGAAGACTGTGAAATTTTCAATAAAGATCATGGTCTGAGGAGCTATATCTGTGTACGGCACAAGTTGACTACACATAGTTGAGGGGACAATAGACCTGAACAAGTAAATTAAAGTGCTAGTAAGTTTTCTAGTTCCTTAAGTCAAAGGAGTGGTTTGAAGATAGAGAATGAATTTTTCAACAGAATAGTGTACCGTGCCACACAAAATAAAAATCAAAGGAGTGGCTTGCGAAAAGTTCTATAAATGTACTTAAATGGCCTGGAAACTCTCCAGACTTGAATCCAATTGAGAACCTATAGAAACAACTGAAAGATGAGATCCACACTGTAAACATTATAACAGAATCCAAACTGATTGAACTATTGGTTCAGATGTGCCTCCATAGTAAAAAAATTAAAGAACTTTAGAAAATATGTTGCTTGGTATCTTGGTGTTGCATGGAAATTGCGGCAGGCAATAAATAGTAAACTAACCGGTGCTGGCAATTGTATCATTACTATAAAGATAATAAAGTTATTTTGTCTTAAATTTGTGTAAATAAATATTAAATTTTACTTTTAACTATGTTTTTTTTTTACTTGATTTTATGTGAAACAAATAATGTTATAAGCAAAGAAGTAGGCTTTACAGTACACTATATACTAATATTTTACTGCATTCTCAAATACTCAGGACTATCAAGTAAAGCTATTGTGACAGTATCTTTCAGCAAATTTTTTTTCCCCTAATATTTTCATAACAACAACAAAAACTATACATTTCATACACTAGCATGATTTCACATGGATATATTTTATAAAACCATACAACAATTTCAATTTTTACTGCAATTTACAATATAATAAGTAAATAACTTTGTTGTTAGAATTCAACATGTTAATTAATAGAATTCAATATGTTAATTAATACAATTCAACATGTTAATTAATAGAATTGAACATGTTAATTAATATAATAGAATTGAACATGTTAATTAATATAATAGAATTGAACATGTTAATTAATAGAATTAATTAACATTGAATTCTTTGGTGGTTATCTTTAATAAGATAACCACCAAAGAATTCTGAATGCAAGATAACACCAAAAATGTTGGTGTTACCTTGCATTCAGAAATAAATGTCTGAATACTAAATTGCAGTAAATAGCAAAGTTAATAACTTAATGATAAAAATTGAAAAATACTGTTGTTAATACAGTTATTATAACTTACTTGAATATATGTTTCATTTTGCTCAAGTTTCTTTTGTTTGCTGTCATGGACCTTAGTAAGATTTGCCACATCTAAAGTAAAATGTCAGTTATACTTTTTTTTCTTTAAGCAACATGCTTCTCCAAAAGAAAAAATTTACTACCTCCAGATAATTTTTCTTTGGTTTTTAAGAGATCATCTTTTTCTTTTAACAACATCTGCAAAGTTTTTAAAAAATGTTATGTTTTATACATAAATATCAAAAATAATAACAACTATCTATAAATATATACTTACATTCATATATGAATATATATGTTTAAAACTCTATACTTACATTCTTTTTATTTTCCACATTTTTCTTTAAAGTGTTTATATCAGAATACACTGCAAGTTCCTATTATTTAATATTAAAAATTTTATATATAACAATATTTGCTAAAAGAAAAGTTAAACATATATTTCTTTAATTATGTTAAATATAATAACTATTTTTAAATAAAATTAAAAATAAACAAAAAATATGTAAAACTTATAATATTATTATTACATATATATATATATATATATATATATATATATATATATATATATATATATATATATATATATATATATATATATATATATATATATATATATATATATATATATATATATATATATATATATATATATATATATATATATATATATATATATATAGGTAGATACATCAACTGAGATTTGAGTTTGGGCAGGTATCAACTAGATAAGAAAGACTTTTGTGACAGTAAAAAAAAAAACTTTCTTTCATTTCATTATTCTTTGATTTCTTTTCTTTATTCTCTGAAAAACTGTCAGCATTATTAAACTCATTTTTAAGACATTGTAGATATGAATACGCAGTTACAACAATATATATTTATGTTATTGTATATTTTAAAAATATATTTACCTTTTGCATATCTTTAATCTTTTGCTTTAAAGTATCAAGTTCCTTTGTAATTTTTTCTTCAAGCTGGTATAAAAGTTTTAAAAAATGTTAAATTCTGACATTTTAAAACATTCATGTTAAATTCTGACATTTTTAAATACTCATGTTAAATTCTGACAAAATATTTTATATTACCTAACTATAACTTTTAAGTTATTATATCCTTTTTTTTATTTCAAAATCTTAAGTAATTTGTATTATTATATTTAAATATTCATTATAGCGATAAATTTATTAAAAGTTGTAAACATATTGTAACTATTTAAGTATGCTAATACTTCCTTCTATTTATCATTGACAAATTTTTTCATATATTAATTTAATAATTCTTTAATAAAATGTCAATACTTTCTACTAAGAAACCATAACTAGAAAAATGTCTAGATAAAATTGTTGACTTTATGTTAAAATATTTTGCTGAAACATTTATATTTTTTATGTTTGTTGTTGTTGACTTTATGTTAAAATATTTTTAATTAAAATATAAGTTTTTTATTAAATTAAAATAAGTTTTTCAACAGATTATAAACATGGCCTTCTATAATAACAGTCCTTGATATTTTTATGTATAATATTATTATTTGACTGAAGGCCAATTTATAATACTGTGTTAAAACTTTAATTTTTTAATTTTAGATTCACAAAAGTTTGCATTCACACTTTTTTAGCAAAATTTTCATATTGATTAAAGTTAACTTTTACATTTTGAACTTCAAAATGTAAAAGTTAATTTAGATGAAGCTGCTTTAATATTTTAAATATTTAACCCACTTAAAACCATTGTTGATACAGGTGACTTTAAAATGCTGCAAACTTCTCTGTAAAATTATCATTGAAACAGACTGAAACAAAAGTATTTGTATATTTCCAAAGAACCCAGAGAGGAGAAAAAAAAATCATACAAAGGCAGATTTATTGTCTTGGACAATACAGCAGTAAGTCTACTGGCCTGATAATGCATCTTTTGAAACCAAATATGGAAAACAATTATAAATGCTTATGGGTTTAATGAAGACAATTTTTTCACTAAACCCATCATCAAACCTTTGAAAATAATTCATCAAGTTGTTTACAATAACAATCTTTTTCAGCTCAAACATGTAGAAACTTGGAGTTTCAAAATTTTTTAATTTTGAAATTTTCAAAATTTTCAAAGTTTCAATGACTATTGATATGTAGCTATTCATAATGGAACAACTTGTAATTTATCTTACCATAATGGAACAACTTGTAAATTATCTTACCATAATGGAACAACTTGTAATTTATCTTACCATAATGGAACAACTTGTAATTTATCTTACCATAAATCAGATTCGTTTAAAGCAGTTTGAATTTTAAAGAATCAAGAAGGTTTTTACCCATCTAAAATTCTATTTAAACACGCTAATGAAATGAGAAAAGTTAAAGTAGGTGAAGTTTTATATACCTTAGATATATAATATAAACTATACATACTAAATTGAAATTATCATTAGATATAGCTTAGATATATATACTATACATACTAAATTGAAATTATCATTAGGTATAGCTTAGATATATAATATATACTATACATACTAAATTGAAACTACCATTAGAGCTTTATTGAATATATATATGTATATTCAATTGTATTTTATTGAGCATATATATTTTATTGAATGTGCATATTATTTAATTGAATATGTATTCAAATATATTTATACAATATGTAATTAAGAAATTATCATATGTATAGTATATATGTATATATACCAATTTCAAATTGAGAAATTATGTAGAATTAAATTATCATATGTAGAGCTTATGATCATTTTATATACTTATAAATTGTTTGTGTGCCAACTACAAGTTGCCAAGTAAAGGGAATTTACACAATTGAACTCAAAAATGAATACAATGAGGAGCCTGAATTAACCTAAACAGCATTTTTCATTAATTTAGATTCATTCAAAAAAAACTTACATTCTTTCAATTAATGAAGCTACCCAAAAAAGTTGACAAAAACAAAATAAATACTGATGGTGACCGGGTAATCAATAACTTTTTGAAATCTTGAAAACAATTAAAAACAAAACATGGTCGAAAAAAACATGTTCTTATTATAGGATTATATCTTATAAAACCTATATAAAACAAATGTTTGAAAGACTTCAATTTTTGCACAATAGAGCACTGACCTTGCCTAAGTAGATTGATTTAGAAGTTTTATATAAAACTGAAGACAGTAGTCTTTTTAAATATCTAAACATACAGCTAAATCAGTTTATCCAATAGAGACAATCTGAAAAAAGTTTTTCTAAGCTTTGACAATGATCTGAAGGTACATACTTTATAAATGCTAAATCTGTAATTGAAAAAATATGTACTCAACATACTAACTAAATTGAAATTACATTACGGCATTCCTGTTAACATGGTTATTCTTATGACATATAATGCAGAGATATTTCTACCAATAAAATAGAACTGCTGGATAATTTGCATCATCTAGAAAGCTCAGTTTACTACAACTAACATTTTTGTATTTCTATTATTATTATTATTGATCTATTTTGTAAACACTTACATTATATTGATCACTCTCAAACGAACAAGAGACTTTTGTATCTTAATTTGATACAATAAAACAACAATATATATACATATATATATATATACATATATATATATACATACTATATATATATATATATATATATATATATATATATATATATATATATATATATATATATATATATATATATATATATATATATATATACACATATAGACGTCAGATGTCGCTCCACTGTATTTTGTAATTTTATTAACGGTTTGTTTGTTTTTGATATAGTACATGGCTGATGATTGAGTATAGGCATGAAACTATACGTCCCATAAAAAGTTGTTTTTTCTATATGTAAATAAAAATAAATATATATATATATATATATATATATATATATATATATATATATATATATATATATATATATATATATATATATATATACCGCTCTAGTTAGAAAGTTGTTTACTTTCTTTATTATTGAGCACTCTTAACCGAAATAGAGTTTTGTATTACTATTGTAATACAAATTTAACATCAATCGATATATATATATACATATACATATATATATATATATATATATATATATATATATATATATATATATATATATATATATATATATATATATATATATATATATATATATATATATATATATACATATACATATACATTTTAGCAAATGCTAATTTTGCAACGGATTTAATATAAGGTTTCCAAGAAAGATCAGAAGTAAGAGTTAATCTTAGAAGATGAAGGGTAGGAGACTCATCGAGCACATTAACGTTCATAAATATAGGAAGGTCTAAATTATTGCGATAACGATTGGCTGAAAAAAATTGAGTCTTATCTGAATTAAAGTTCACCAGCCACTGTGAGCCTCATGCTGTAGCAGAAGCGAGATCCTTTTCAAGCTCAAATGCCCCCTGCAAGCAATCATTACGTCCCAAACCATTACGTCTTTGCCTAGGAGGCCTTTTACAAGACAGCAGCCGGATGCAATCATTATCTCCCAACTCAGCTCATTCACTTTTTCCTTTTTTGTTATTAGTCTGACTTTTTTTAATAGTTATTATCCTTTTTGCTATAATTTTTTTTGGTCACTATCTATATTATTACTTTTTGTTACTTGTTTGTTTTTTACTTTATTTGTTAATTTTGTTAGGTGTCACACCAATGAATAGTTCTTAAATATACGAGTGACACCAAACCTAATTTTGTAAATTATAAATAAATCTGTATTATTTTTCAATATTTTAAATATTAAAATTAATGTAAATTTTGTATAACTTCATACATAACAAGGGTTTCTTTCAAGTAAACTTGATATTGAACATAAGTTGCACATTCTAACACCTAGTGCAATACTGTCTGCTGTGTCTATGTTAACTTTTTAACTCAACTTCTTCTAATTTTCTCTCTAATACCTTGTACATGTATGTATGTATATATATATATATATATATATATATATATATATATATATATATACATATATATATATATATATATACATATATATATATATATATATATATATATATATATATATATATATATATATATATATATATATATATATATATATGTATATATATATATATATATATATATATATATATATATGTATATGTATATATATATATATATATATATATATATATATATATATATATATATATATATATATATATACATATATATATATATATATATATATATATATATAAATATATATATATATATATATATGTATATATATATATATATATATATATATATATATTATATATATATATATATATATATATATATATATATATATATATATATATATATATATATATATATATATATATATATATATATATATATATATATATATATATATATATATATATATATATATATATATATAATATATATACCTAATATATATACCTAATATACATATAAAATAAAATTTTCATAAATTATGTAAAACTTTATCGATAAAATGGATTCCTATCAAGTGAACTTGATATTGAACATAAATTGCACATTCTAACATCTAGTGCAATACTGTCCTGTGTCTCTATGCCAACCTTCTAACTGGACTTCTTCTAACTTTCTCTCTAACTTCCTTCATTCTTCTAAAAATCACTTACCTTTGGTCTGCAAAGGGGTTATGATGCTATTTAACAAGCTGAACTGGTTTTTGTGGGTTTAGGTATGTAGCCTCTATATAAGACTATATAAGTTTTTCGGAGGAGGATAAACCACATGGAGGATAAACGCATGGAAAGAAGGTATATATTAAATAAAAGAGTATGTTAGATGTATTTATATATTTACTTTTTTGTAGTGCAGTCTAAAAAAGGTCTCTATTTAAATTATTTAAAATTGTGGTTTTTGACAAAGTTGTCTGTAGAATAGAAATTTTGATGTTAATAATTGTTAAAATATCTAATGATAAATTTGTATTTATTGATTCATTTTA